TAAACACATAATGCTTATTGAATTGTGAAAGATTGTTTTCTGGTTCTTAGACTTTAAGTAAGTAAGTCTTAAAGTTTAACAGTTTTTTCCTTCAGTTTTCCTAAAGAGTTTATCTGGACAAGGAAACACCTTTTGTAGAATGATCTGTAAATGGAATCAGATTGTGATGTCCTTTGTGTCTGGCTTTTTTCTGCTCAGCAAAGTTGAAAGCTGGTGCTTCCAAATTAGACACTGAACCTGAGAGGTCAGCTGACTCAGACTGGCCTATTGGCCTCTCCTTGACTGCTAGATAACCAGTCATGCCACCTCCTCCCCACGGAAGCTCCAGCTACACTTTTTTTTTTTTAAAGTGGAAACTATGTTTTCTTAAGTACTAGCTCTACACTGTCACTTGAACCCCAGATGCAAACAGCACCATTCTCTTCTCTAATTATAAAATTTATACTTGTTTTTGCTTCTTGTGGTTTTTTTTTTTTTTTTGTCAGTTCTGGGGCTTAGACTCAGGGCCTGAGCTTTTTCACTCAAGGCCACCACTCTACCACTTTGAGCTACAGCTCCACTTCTGGTTTTCTGTCATTAACTGGAGGTAAGAGGCTTACAGACTTTCCTGCTTGGGCTGGCTTTGAACCATGATCCTCAGATCTCAGCCTCCTGAGTAGCTTGAATTACAGGCATGAGCCACTGGTGCCTGGCTCTGTTTAGTGTATGAAAAGTATTAATACTTTAAATGGAAATCCTTTAAATGAAAACAAATTAGAAAAAACCACGTACAACTTTCCACCGGAACCTTTTCAGGAATCACAGGTAGATTGCCTACGGTACTGCCAGGATCATTAAAATGGTGTTATGGTTGATTTTGACTGTCAGTTTGATTGGACTGCGAATTGCCCAGGAGTTTAGGAAAGTATACCTCTGAATGTATCTGTGAAGACATTTCCAGAGAAAACTAACTACGCATGAAAGACCTGCCCTGAATGTGAGTGGCTTCACCCGACAGAATGGGGGCCTACGTGGAATAAAAGGAAAAGAATTGATAGGAATTGGCTTTGCTCTCATAACTTGATGTTGCTCCTATGGCCCACTGACCACACTCCCCTAGGAACCCTTCCCAGCAATCTTCCCCGGGAATCTTATCAGAATCCCCATCCCGTGTCATCCCCCGGCCTTATCTGAAGCTATAGGACCTTCTTGCAGAACTGTGAAGATATCACAAACCCCACACAGGCCCTTCTGCTACTACTACAAGGATATTACAAATCCCAAACTCTCATACTCTACTGTATTTAAACCCTCAAACCCCCATGCCCTTTGCCCCTTGTATTTCCCACTGTCTTGTAACTACTTGGTGCCCCTCTTCAGCAATGACTAAAACCTGATCTGATCTGTTAAGGTCTCTATCCTCTTTTTTCCTTTTGTTCTGCTTGATCTTTTCTAACAAGAAGCACCTCTAACACACTTCCTTACTGCTTCCTGGTGGCCAAGAGGCAAGTTGTTCCCTCTCCCCGCCCCAGCTCCCATCATGATGGGACTGAAATCACAAACCAAAATCAATCTCTCCTCCCTTAAGTTTTTTTCCAGCATTCATCACAGCAATGGAAAGGGATAGACAATGCCAGCAACAACTGGAAAGACAAACTGTAGACACAACACCTACAACATCCAGGTTCCACGCAAGAGACCAACACTAGCAACTACAGAAATTCAACATCATGGGCTGGGAAGATGGCTCAGTGGTAGAGTGCATGCCTTGCATGCCAGAGGCCCTGGGTTCGATTCCTCAGCACCACATAAGCAAAAAGAAAAAAGCCGGAAGTGGCGCTGTGGCTCAAGTGGTAGAGTGCTAACCTTGAGCTGAAGAGCTGAGGGACAGTGCCCAGGCCCTGAGTTCAGGCCCCATGACCGGACCCAAAAAAAAAAAGAAATTCAACATCATGAGAGGACTTAAATTTCTATGTGGTTAGCTTTATTCTGAGACAGAGCCACCCTATATTGCCCAGGCTGGTTTTGAACTCCAATGGGTCCTCTTGTCTCTGTTTCCCAAGTAGCTTGGACTACAGGTGCTCACTGCCATGCCAGGCTGAGAGTTAAACTTTTTTTTTTTTTGGGTCCGGTCGTGGGGCCTGAACTCTGGGCCTGGGCCTGGGCGCTGTCCCTCAGCTCTTCAGCTCAAGGCTAGCGCTCTACCACTTGAGCCACAGCGCCACTTCCGGCTTTTATTCTTTTTGCTTATATGGTGCTGAGGAATCGAACCCAGGGCCTCAGGCATGCAAGGCAAGCGCTCTACCACTGAGCCACCTTCCCAGCCCCGAGAGTTAAACTTTTAAAGATGCTTTCAATTATGGCTAAGAGTTGAAGGCAAAGTACCATGATGTGAATACTACGGATCTAAGACAAGTGGGAAGGAAAAAGAGGGGGAAGAGAAGCAGCTCCAATATAAATGAAGAACCAAGAAGTGTCCCTTCCTAGCAGTGGATTTCTTTCCTGTCCCTGCAAGTCATAAATGAGCATAAACCTATGCATGTACAGCCTTCCTTGGTGGCTGTGACATCTGAACTTGCTTCCAATCTGATCTTTATCCTCAGTCCCTCAAGATTTTACTATCTAAGAGTTCCTGCTTAGTAAAAGTAAACTGGAGGCCTGTCTCTTTCTGATGCTCTCTTCTTACTGAACTTGGTAAGGGCGGATCACAGCCCAGACTTCAGGGGATTCCCCAAGAAGCTAAGAATACCTCAGCTGCCACCTCTCCCAGCTTTGCAGGTTTGGGGGGGCAGATCATGATTTGGGGCAGATCATGATTTTGCTGACAAGGAAAAGAAATCTTTACGATCCAATCTAAGGTGTGTCTTAACAATCTCCAAGTGACCTTTATCCAGGCATGAATTTCCTGCTTGTGACAAGTTCCTGGGGTACTGTGGCTGCTTTTCTCTACAGTGTACTACTGTGTCCTCACATGGGTCTCTGTGCATCCAGAGTTATAAGCCTCACTGGTTAGTCTCAGAGGAGGAACCATCTTTTCACTGCCTTGACTTAGAAACGCAACCTCCAGGCTCAAAGCCAAATTGCCAGAAGCAATCAAAACTCAATCCAGGTGTGTTTTGATCAGATGCCCAAGCCCTGCCCTTTCCTCTTAGTAAATCAATCACAGAGGAAAAAAAATTTCTCTAGAGAAAAACTTGGGAACTTCTATCATAAAGAGAAGTCAAGGACGGAAATGTTTGAGGCCTTACAGCCAGGATCTTTTTGTTGTTGTTTGTTGATTGTGGGGCTTGAACTCTGGGCCGGCACGCTATCCCTTAGCTCTTCAGCTCAAGGCTAACCTCTACCAATTGAGCCCACAGCCCTGCTTCAGGTTTTCTGGTGATTCATTGGAGATAAGAGTCTCACAGACTTTCCTGCCCGGGCTGGCTTTGAACCATGATCCTCAGATCTCAGCCTCCAGAGTAGCTAGGATTACAGGTGTGAACAACCAGTGCCCGGCAAGAGTCAGGCTGTTAAGTGCAGCTGTTTGCCTTTGGATAACTTCTGGTACCTCTCTGAGCCTTAGGAATAGGTGAAAGCATTGAAGTATGGAGGTGGTATCCACCAACATACATATGCAAAGTAGGGTAAAGCTCCCTCTGCCAGGATTGCCTGGAGCCCTTACATCCATGTTCCTCTTAATCCTGTAATTGAACAGCTTTTTCATCATCCTAAATCATAGTTTCATTATGGGTGGCTGTATTTTCTCCCCCGTAGGCTAGCATGTTTTTCCATTGTCAAACTCAACCCAGGAAGATTTCTTACAAGTCACAGATGACATTAGGGCTCACCTTGATAAACCAGATTTTCTTCATTGCTGGCAAGGCCAGGCTCAGTGCAAAGATGAGAACCCTGGGATACCACGTATACAGCTGACATGTGTTATTATTCAAGGGGTTTCCGGATATTCATTGGGTTGGATGTGTTTGTTTGCTTGTCTTCCATAGAGAGCACTTAGTAGATAGTAGGGTAAGTACAGATTCTTGATGGTTTGAATGTGTGAACTTGGTCTTAATGTAAAATCTGTTTCTCACTGTGCGTCTCCACCAATGAAGTTTAAAAGCTACTGACCACATGTTTGGGCATCAGGTTTCCAAGATCATTTGCTCCTGTCCATGTAGTTTGAGCTGCCAACTGGCTGCCACTCGGGTGGTTTTCCCTCTCTTCCAACTCAGCCTGCTTTCCCAGTGGAGTCTCTGCCAGTCACTGACAGTTCACAGCCTACTAAGTTGCATGGACTTAGCTGCATGCATGGCTCAGTGTTCTAGGCTCCTGGCTTGTTTGAGAAGCACTGGAAACCAGGCAGCACATTCAGCTTTTTTTTTCTGGTACTGGGGCTTGTACTCAGGGCTTGAGAGCTATTCCTAAACCTCTTTGTTCAAGGCTTGTGTTCTGCCCCTTGAGCCACAGCTCTACTTCTGACTTTTTTGGTGGTTCATTAGAGATAAGAGTCTCTCAGACTTCCCTTAGGCTGGCTTTGAACCCATGCTCTTCAGATCTCAGCTTCCTGAGTAGCTAGGATTGCAGGCATAAGCCACAACTACCCAATTAAAAACTTCTTAGTTTTGTTTTTTTTTTTTTTGTCGGTCATGGGGCTTGAACTCCAGACCTGAGAGTTGTCCCTCAATTCTTCAGCTTAAGGCTAGCACTCTACCACTTGAGCTATAGCACCACTTCCAGTTTTCTGGTGGTTTATTGGAGATAAGAGTTTCACAGACTTTCCTGCCTGGGCTGGCTTTGAACTTCTATCCTCAGATCTCAGCCTCCTGAGTAGCTAGCATTACAGGTGTGAGCCACCGGTGCCTGGCACTTCTTAGTTTTTGAAAGCAAGAATCTCATACAAGTATGGAAGAGAAAATACTAGGAATCTCAAAAAGGAAGTCTAGTGAATTTTTGCTTCACCAACTCAGTTCCCATTCACCTTTCCCTTCCCAAAACCACCAGTAACAATAAATGGCCAAACCCATTCCATAAAGGCTCACCTCTCCCAGTGCACAGGTATTTGCATTTGTGGCATTCCAGGAGCCCTTCAGCCTCTGACTGGTAATATTCCACTTCTTCTGGTCCAGGCCTGGGATATGAGGACATATATCTTCCTGACATGGGTTCACTATGACCAAAAAAACCACACAGGGCCATTAGGAATGTGCCTCAGGGTTTAGGACTCAACTCTTCATGGTGAGCCCAAACACTGAAGGACTGGTAAAACAGAAACAAATCTTTTTTTTTTTTTTTTTTTTTGCCACAGGATTTTAGACTCCAGAAACTTCTCTGGTTTAGTAGCCCCACAGGGCCATCCAACCCATGGCTCACCTCTGCTAAAGAACCATGTGACCATCCTGATGCTGTACACCTGTGCACTTCCATGGCTAGTCGCTGCCTGCCTCTTGTCCAATCAGGTAACTTTAAGCTATCTTCTCTGGGAATGTAAGTTCTTCATTCAGCACAAGCTCTGGTTGGTAATCATTCTGTCCTTTTCTCCATTGCAATGTGCCTGGCAGCAAGCATTCTCCAGGCATGAGGGAGCCCCAGTAGACAACCTTTAAGACCATCTCATCCCTTCCTTGGCCAGCCCTGGCACTTTCTGTTTCTTTCCCCCTTTTTTATCTAGCACATTCTGGGCTCGGTGCAAGGTTCAATGGGAGGCTGCCTTCTACGTGGTGCTCTGAAACATACAAGTCATCATGTTTCTCTTAGGTTTGAACTCTTCAGACTGCACGGGAGGCCCTTGTTCATCTCTACAGAGCCGCAGCCACAGTGCTGCTCTTACCCCCAAAAGATGATGTGCTCTCTCATGGCTCTGGAAGCTGTTCTACTTGAAGCATGCCTGTAATCACAGATTCTCAGAGGGCTGAGATCGGGCAGGGGGGAATCAGTTTGAATCCATCCTGGATAGAAAAGTCCAAAGTAACCAGCTGGGCTGGAGGTGTGGCTCTAGTGGTAGAACTCCAATTGAGCAAGCAAGGAAAACTAATCAAGTGTGCTTCAGTTCAATCCCTATTACTAGGGGGAAATACATCCAACAAAACAAAACAAAAAACTAGGCTTGGTGGCACATGCTGGTGAGTTCAGGTATGCAAGAAGCAGAAGGCTGGTTCTAAGGCCATTCCCAGGCACAAAGCTAAGGACTCTACCTGAAAGTTTAAGCTAAGAAAGCAAAAAAGAATTGGAGGTGTGGATCAAGTGGAAGAGGGCTTGTCTAGCAAGTTTGAGAACCTGAGTTCAACCCCCCAGTACTGCTCAAACAAAAACAGAACAAAACCGAGAAGATCACAAAAACTTGTGATCTTCTTTCTCCAGTCTTACCCCTTTTTTCTTTCTCCAGAACTCAGTTTAGGTCATCTCCTCTGGGCACCTGCCCAAGCTTACACGGGGGGCCCAACTCAGTCCTTCCCAAATCCAAGTTTCTCCTACTTGGACCCATTTTATGCTGAGCTGCAATTGGCCAGTTTCCTGTCATTCTCCTGCCCAGACAGTGGACCTGAAAGGGCAGATCTCTGCAGACACACTTCTGCATCCCATCCATTTAATAGGAGTCAGGAAGGAATTTGGTTTCAAACTTCTAGTTAGAAGTTTGAGCAACAGAAATAAAAAGCAAGATTATTTCCTTTTGGGGTAGGGTTTGTAAGGAAATGTGTAAGTGCAGCCTTTGCTTTTCCTAGCTGAGAGATTGCTGTGTAGAATGGCTTTAGTCAGGGCAGCAGTATCTGGGCCCAACATTTGTCATGAGTTGGTTTTAGATAAAGTAATATAAACACTGGATAGTAGCTTTCCCGCTGTGTAGACATTGCTAAGAGAGGCTGGGCTCCAAATCCTACAGTAGAGGCAAAAAGTAGTCATGAGCCAGGCTTATGCCTATAATCCTAGCTACTCAGGAGGCTGAGATCTGAAGATCATGGTTCAAAACCAGCCTGCACAGGAAAGTCTGTGAGACTCTTATCTCCAATAAATCACAAAGCTCTGGGCTCAAGTAGTAAAGCACTATCCTTTTTTGGGGGAGGGGGGGTTTGGTCGTGGGGTCTGAACTCTGGGCCTGGGCATTGTCCCTCAGCTCTTCAGCCCAAGGCTAGCGCTCTACCACTTGAGCCATAGCGCCACTTCCGGCTTTTTTCATTTTGCTTATGTGGTGCTGCAGAATCGAACCCAGGGCCTCAGGCATGCAAGGCAAGCACTCTACCACTGAGCCACCTTCCCAGCCCCGTAAAGCACTATCCTAAGAGAAACTAAACAAAAAAACCTTAGGAACAACTCATGGGCAATGAGTTCAAGCCTCAGGCTTGGCAAGCCCTCCCACCTTCCACCCCCCAAAAAGAGTCATGTCCCATGATCTGTCTGTCTCCTTGTTAGGGAGGGCAGAGGTGGTATCCCTCTATTCAAGCCTGAGTGCCACTTATGCAAATAATTTGGTAACACTGGCAGAACTGGATGGAATGTTAGCTCCCTAGAAGCGGGTAGGGACCCAGGTCATCCTTTGTCTTCCTTCCATCCTTACATGTTCCTAGTTCACAGAGTTTTCCAGAACAACTCCATGTTTTCTCCTCACAAGGGCTCATGGGAGTTCCTTGAGTTCTACCAGGTAAAGGTGGGAAAGTGTTTTCATCTGTGTTCCAAAAATCAGACATTTTGAAAGAGTCTGCCTAAGTAGAAACACTTCAAGAAGCTCAGGAGAACCACAGTTTGAGGCAACCCTTTCCCCTCCCCCCAAAAAACCCTTTTATGAGACTCCCATGTTAATAAAGAAAAATTGTCCAGGCAGCGGTGGCTCATGCCTGTAATCCTAGCGACTCAGGAGGCTGAGATCTGAGGATCAAGGTTCAAAGCCAACCCAGGCAAGAAAGTCTGTGAGACTCATCTCCAATTAACCACCAGAAAACTGGAAGTGGCCTTGTGGCTCCAGTGGTAGAGCTCTAGCCTTGAGCTGAAAAGCTTAGGGACAGTGCCAGGCCCAGAGTTCAAATCCCACAACCGACCAACAAATGAAAAACAATTAAATAGGACGGGATCCAGGCCCACCCAGACATACATGGGAGACCCTATTTGAAAAAAATATCTAAAGCAAACAGAAGTGGGGGGGAGGGCTGGTTTAAGTGATAAAGCCAGGCCTTGAGTTCCAACTCTAGCACCACAAGATAATTGTATCTCACTGACATAGAGTAAGAATTCCATCTATGTCCTCCAGGCAGGAGAATTTAGAGTAGTTAGTTCTTTGGTTAAATGTGTAGCTTCTCTCAGCTGGGCTGGTCCTGGGGCTTGAACTCAGGGCCTGGGTGCCATCCCTTAGACTTCTTTGCTCAAGGCTCTATCAACTCGAGCCACAGCTCCACTTGCTTTTTCGTTTGTTGTTTGTTTTCGGGGTGGTTAATTGGGGATGAGAGTCTCAGGTACTTTCCCTCCCTGACTGGCTTTGAACCTGGATCCTCAGACCTCAGCCTCCTGAGTAGTTCGGATGACAAGTGAGCCCCGCCAGCAGCCCGGCTGGTTTGACATGGCGCCTCGCCCCGATCAGGGTAAGCCATGCTTGCTGGGGCTCACGTGACTGACCCGGGCCGGACACCTGCGCTCTGATTTTGGAACTGGGGGCGGAGGATCTGCAGGTGCCCTGTGACCAGGCCCCGGGGGGCGGGGCCGGGGGCGGGGCCCCGGGCTGACTCCACCCACCCGATCCCAGTCTCCCCCTCCCCCACCCCCCCCTAGTTCTGGTTCCGGTCCAGGTTCCGCAGCTCGGCCGCTTGGGCTTTGTTCATCCGGGCCATGCCACAGAGGGGGCTCTAAAGTTGGGGGGTTTCTTCCCCCCGACCCCAGGTCACTTCGGAGAGCGCGAAAGGGAGGGATGGCATTTCTCCCCCCACGTCGGCTTCCGGGACCCCGGCAGGTGCGCCCCTCACCTTTTCGGCGGCTCCGGGGTCCCCCGGGGCTCGGGCCAGGGGGGCCCTCGGGGGTCGCCCCGCGTCCGGCTGGGGCGGGCCGCTCCCCAGGCTGCTGGCTCCGCCGCGCGGTGGCCCGCGTCCCTGGGCCGCTCCCGGCGGGGGTCCCGCTCCCGCCCCCTGTCGCGATCCCCGCGCCGGGGCCCGGGTCTGTCTCGCGGCCGCTCGAGGTGGCGGTCTCGGTCCGCGCGGGGACGACGGTCCGGGTCGCGTTCTCGAGGCCGGGACCGGGGCTCGCGAATCCCCGACGAATCTTCCATGCTCGGTTCCGTGCGCCGCGCCCGGGAACCACCCGAGGGTCACAACCGAAAGTTTCCCGGGTGGACGGCCGAGCTCGGGTGGGCGGGGCTGGTGGCCGCTCACCTGTGCGCGTGCGCACTAGGTCCCGCGGCCAGCCGGAGAGTGCGCACCTGGGCACGCGCGGCCGGCAGGGGGCGCCCCAGTGCGTGGCTGTGTGTGTGTGTGTGTGTGTGTGTGTGTGTGTGTGTGTGTGTGTGTGTGTGTGTGTGTGTGTGTGTGTGTGTGTGTGTGTGTGTGTGTGTGTGTGTGTGTGTGTGTGTGTGTGTGTGTGTGTGTGTGTGTGTGTGTGTGTGTGTACAGCCCCTTCACTCTGCTCTTTACCTGTCCCTGGCCCACAGAATCCAAGAGCTTCCTACTTCCAGAGAGTATATCATCGCCATTCTTCATGGCGTACAGCAGGTGCTCAATGAATAATCAATCATTGCGTAAATAACATTAAGTAGATTAATTCTGGGCACTCAGGAAGACGATAGGGACCTTTTATGTTGTGTGGCATCTTGCAAAAGTATTAGATGCATTAAAAGTGTGCTGGGGACCAAGCTTCCAGCACAAAGAATCATGTCTAAGCAGCAACGAGAAGTTAGCATTAAGTTTTCTGTTCTAAAGGAGGACCGAATGTAAGGGAAAAAATCCAAATACTTAAGTAATTGGTCCTTTAAAAAATGAACACTTATGGTAGAGTAGAGTGCTTGCCTTGCTTGCTTGCCTTGCATGCATGAAGCCCTCGGTTTGACTCCTCAGCACCACATAAACAGAAAAGTCCAGAAGTGGTACTGTGGCTCAAGTAGTAGAGCACTAGCTTTGAGCTGAAGAACTGAGGGACAGCGCCCAAGCCCAGAGTTCAAGCCTCACAACTGACAAATAAAAAAGAACACTTCTGGGGTTGGAGGCGTGGCTCAGTTGGTAGAGCACAAGCCAATGGGCAAAAGCATCAGGTACAGAGTTTGAGTCCTGGTTTTTGTTTTGTTTTGTTAAATGTACCCTTTTGTTGGTTTTAGTATATTCTCCTATACTTGGGGGAAGAATCTGTAGGGTTTTTTTTTTGTTTGTTTGTTTGTTTTTTTTGGGTCCGGTCGTGGGGACTGAACCCAGGGCCTGGGCGCTGTCCCTCAGCTCTTCAGCTCAAGGCTAGCACTCTACCACTTGAGCCACAGCGCCACTTCCGGCTTTTTTTCTTTTTTGCTTATGTGGTGCTGAGGAATCGAACCCAGGGCGTCAGGCATGCAAGGCAAGCGCTCTACCACTGAGCCACCTTCCCAGCCCGAATCTGTAGTTTTGATTTGACTCTTTGAGTGCCTTTATTCAAGCATTCCCTAGAAGGAGACACATTTCAAATAGGGGATCAAGGACAGTCTTTGTGATCTTCTGCCTCTCTTCTTTCCTTAGAACATCTTGTCCTGCTTGTCTGTCACCAGACTCCACTTTTTTTTTTGTCTTGTGTGTATGTGTGTGTATATTATTGTGAAAATACCATACAGAGGGGTTACAATTACATGAGCAAGGTAATGAGTTCATTATCAAGCATTGTTGCCTCCTCCTTTGTTTCCCCTTCCCATCCCTTCCCATCCTCATAAAGTCTTGTATATCTTATTGTTGTAATGGGTCCACCTGTATCCCTATTTAAACAACTTGTTTTTTCCCTTCCCCTCCACAAATTATACCAATATCAAATACAGTGAAAACAGGGGTTATACCATGGGAGGAGGGACATACAAAACAACAAAGAAATATCTTATAAATATGTTAGAAACAATAGCAAGAAAGAAAAACATTTGAGACCTTATCTTGGGATTCATTTTGACTAACAACTTACCTGACCATTTCTGCTTGTCTCAGACATATACTAGTTATTGCAAATAAGGAAAACCATGGGACCCTTGTTTCTTTGGGCCTGGCTTACTTCACTTAATATAATTTTTCTAAGTCTTTCCATTTCCTAACAAATGGAGCAATGTCATTCTTTCTGATGGAGGCATAGAATTCCATTATGTATATATACCACATTTTCTTGATCCATTCATCTCCTGAGGGGCATCTGGTTTGGTTCCATATCTTGAACCCACAGACCTATACCCATCTAATCTTTGATAAGGGAGCTAAAAAAATAGAATGGAAGAAAGACAGCTTCTTCAGTCAATGGTGCTGGCAAAATTGGTTAATCACTTGTAGAAAACTAAAGCTAGATCCCTATATATCACCCTACACCAGAATCAACTCTAAATGGATCAAAGACCTCGGAGTCAAAGCAGATACTCTGAAAACTTTACAGGACAGGATAGGAGAAACCCTAGGTCTCCTTGGCATAGGCTTCAATTTTCTTCATAGAGACCCAGAAACACAACAAATCAGAAAGGTTGGACAAATGGGATTGCATGAAATTGCAGAGCTTCTGCATGGCAAAGGACATAACTAGCAAAATCAATAGAAAGCCCACGGATTGGGAGAAGATCTTGACTAGCCATACAATGGACAAGGGTCTAAAATCTAAAATATACCTGGAACTCAAAAAATTAAATCCCCAACAACAAATCCTCCAAGAAACAACTGCCCAATAAATAAGTGCGCTAAAGACTTAAAGAGAAACTTCTCTGAAGAGGAAAGAAGGATGGCCAATAGATACATGAAGAAATGCTCAACCTCCCTAACTGTAAAAGAAATGCAAATCAAAACAACATTGAGATACCACCTCACCCCAGTTAGAATGGCTATAATCAAGAACTCTAACAACAACAGATGTTGGAGGGGATGTGGACAGAAGGGAACCCTACTGCATTGTTGGTGGGAGTGTAAACTTGTTCACTTTGGAAAGTAGTATGGAGGTTCCTCAAAAGACTCCACATAGAGCTTCCCTATGACCCAGTAATCCCACTTTTGGGCATTTACCCAATGATCACAAACAAGACTATTCTAAAGCTACTGGCACAACTATGTTTATTGCAGACTCCATTTCTGATGGCAGCGGGCACTGGATTCCCACCCAGGGTCTAGAGAAGAGAATGGAAGCCAGCAGGGGGCAGCAGAGGCTCAGTCAGGTAGGAAGTGTGTGGGTCCAGCACCACCTGCCTGCCTCCCTCAGTCTGAATATTTCCTCCTCCATCTCCCTCTGACTGGATACAATTCTCCTGACAGATGTGCTAGAACACCCGAACTTTCTGCATGTCACACAGTAAGTAGGTGAGTTTGGGAAGCTCTCCAAACTTTCAGTACCCCTGTGTTGTCACTTGCAAAATAGAGAATATTGTACTAACTCACAAGATTAAGTAAGTAAATCTCTGGGAAATACTCAGAGCTGTGCCTGGCACATAGTAACACTACAAATATAGCAGCTATTGTTCATAGTGTTATTGCTTATTGAGCACTCAGGATAGAAAGATGGCATGAATAAGATGAATTAAGATAGGTTTGCACAGAGAAAGCTGGCAGGATCATGAGAGGTAGATAAGGAACTATTGTCTAATTCTGAGAAGGAAAAAAAGAGGCAAGTGGGGTATGGACAGTATCTGGAGGCTGAAGCAACCCAAAGCAGCTTCAGAGGAGGGAAATGGTTAAGGACTGAGATATAGAGACCTTCTGAGTAAAGAGAACAGCAAATAGGAAGTTAATAGGTGCAGGGAACTTTGAGTCCTTACATTTGGACCACAGTGCTAGAAGCAAAAGAGAATGTAAAAGGGAAAAGAATGGAGAGGTAAGTAGGGTCCAGGTCACGGCAAGAGTAGAGGGTCAGGGACTTAGGGCTTGGGCCTGTGATCTCCCAATGCACATAATCCCCACTGTGGCATAGGGAAAAAAAATGATCGGTCATGGGGCCTGAACTCTGAGCCTGGGCACGGTCTCTCAGCTCTTCAGCTAGCACCTTGAGCCACAGCACCACTTCCAGCCTTTTCTGCTTATGTGGTGCTGAGGAATCGAACCCAGGGTCTCATGCATGCATGGCAAGCACTCTACCACTGAGCCACCTTCCCAGCCTGGGAAAAATTTAACATTGGTATTCAGTTGCATTTAGGAAATCAGTAAAGCAGAGCTCTGGGTATATCTGTGAGGCATTTTCAGAGAAGATTAGCTAAGTGGGAAAGAGTTGCTCTGAATATGGTTGAGACACGGTCTGGTTTACAATTCAGACTGGCCTTGATCTCGCAGTCTTCCTTGTCTCTGTTTCTTCAGTACTGAGACTACAGCATACACTACCATGTTCATCATGTAGTAGGCGTAAGGGGCAGATCCTGGATTCAAAACCTGCTTTTAATATTAAAGTCTATGGTTTTAACTTTTAGAGGACACAGTCCTTATCATCCCTCCCCGCCCCCCAATCCCATATATTTCTTTGAAATAAATTCTCAGGCATTGCGATTCTTGGGACCAATGAATAAGGATTGGTGTGTGTGTGTGTGTGTGTGTGTGTGTGTGTGTGTGTATGGTTTGTCACTTTGTTTTTCCAAATGAAGGGAACTTTGGGAGACTCTGCAAGATAATGACAAATTCAAGTCCTATGTAACTATTTGTGTTCAAAGCTTTTCTGGGACTTTGTGTACTTCCCGGTGTTTTGTGAACCACATTATATTTTTTTCCATTATCATACTGGGCAATGAAGTCTGGGAGCTCTACAGACAACCAGCAGTTCTCTCAGCGTTCTGATCAGGAAATACCCATGCCCAACAGCCCCAAACAGGTTCCTCCGGTATTTCCATCTCAGTGAATGTCCAGTGAGTCTCCTTGAAAAGAAACTCCTGGTCCTGCAGGACACTGATTTCCATGGCCAGTGTGGCTTTCTCCATGCTGACATCAGCTCTGTGCTCTGTCATGTTCTCAGCTCTACCTTGACCACAAGTACCCTGTAGTTGGTAATTTCCAAATTAGGTTACAAAATGTCCCAGGAGAGGTGATTAAACAAACAAAATACAGATTTGGCTCATGGAATGTTAGAATTCTGACTCCAAGAGCCAGTTTCTGGTGGAATCTAGACACAAAATGTGATCTGCTTACCACCTTTGAACCTCCGCATTGAGAGGCTCGTGTTTTCCACCCCCGCCAAT